CATGTAACAAAGGAGTTGACATTTCAGAAACATTGATATAACAGAGCTAAAAGCATACATTACCTCTTGACTCAGCATGATGAATTACTTATGTCTAACTGGTTTTTTTTTCTAGTAATCAGAGATCGATTGACTAAGATCGAACGTCTTAGAAAAAGTTCTATAACTCATGAACACAAGAAGGTAAAAATATCAGTCTTGTGTAGATCAAAAGAAGAATAACTTCAGTATATCATTTTCGATCAAATGATTGGCAAACTGCGGATCAATCAAATTTCAATATATTTCAATGACCTCGGATTTCTTCTCTCTCTTGAATAGTGAAAACCGCAAATCTCTATGGTTTTCCTATCAAAACTTATTCAAAAGTTAGTACAGCACATTATATTTTGCTAATAATTACATAATAACTTACTTCGATTTTAGATTTACAGCTTGAAATTAATCGATTGAAACAAACTATTCTTTCGATAGAATATTATATTTTATATATAGGTTAGCAGTTCTTGAAAAACAACCTATACATATACAATGTTGTAATAGATAGTTTCCTTTTCATAACATTATGTCAGTGTTTACTAACTATTCTAAATGAGTTATATCAATGTTCAGTAAACTAAAATTGCAAATTTATAGAAAAAGCTTTAATTTTTATATTTAAAAAAAAATCGATTATTCTACAAGAAAAAATAAAACAATGCCAATGAAATTATTATCAAGTCTAAAATGCTTAAAGTTCAATACTAGTATTGAAATCAACAGATGAATCTATTTTGTTTAAATACTAGTACCAGTAATAATGATTCAATACTAATCTTTCTACTATAGCATTCTAACATATATATATATACATAGATAATTTACATTGATTTTAACTTAGTCGCAAATAATAAACAAATTTAAAAATATTTGAAAGACGATTTGTAAGATATTTCACTTAAAGCAAAATAAAAAGAAACAGATATTTGTCATAAACAATAATACATTCTTAAATATAAATACACCCGTTAAATAAAAAAACAGAAGAAAAAAAGAAAAAACTACATAGTTCTACTATTGATTGTCACTCTCAATAATCACTGCTCGATTGAATGCTTCATTTAATGTTGATAAATCATTTCGTGTACGAATTTGTTTATTTACTGCTTGACTTATTCGTTGCATTTGTAAATAAATACCATTGAGATTTGAAAATATATGAATTGCTCCCATATCACCATGACGATGTACTAAATATTTCCATAATAATGTTATATATGTATCTTGAATTTTCATAATAGCACGTCGTTGATTTGTATCTATTTCAGGTAAAGCTTGTTGATAATAACAATGAAGTGGGGTTGAAAAAAAAAGTACAAGAAGCCAAAGACGTGTTACTACTGGATCAGTTATTAAAATTTGTTCAGCTCGATGTTTTGTATTAACAAATTCAGGATATAAATTACTTCCACATACATATTCTGCTGAAAGATTATCACAAGTTAACTAAAAAAAAGAAAATTTTGTTTTTTCTATATTAAAATTCAAAAAATAAATAAATAAATAAATATTTTTTTTTGTTTTCAAATACCTGCCAAGGTTCCGAATAACATAATTGTTCAAGTTCATGTAAATTAAGTAATATTAATGGACGAATATTATGCTTACATAAATATATTCGATCAAATTTTGAAAGTGTTTGAACAGTTGGAATTGAAGAAAGAAATGATGTAAATGATGTTAAATTATTCACAGTTGATGATGAATGATAATTTATTTTTACACATGCATCATCAGGTATTTGCATTTGAGTAGTAAATAAATTTTTACGTCGTTGAATATAATTTTTAAGACAATGAGTTTCATAAGTAAAAACAATATTTGATATATGAGTCCAATCTGTTTCATGTAATAAATCATTTGTTTTTACAATTTGCTAAATAAAATACAAAAACAAAATGTAAGTTCAAAAATCTATCAGTTTAGTTACACCATAGGTTAACTGAATCCTATCGCTGCCAATAGGATCGAAAATTTTTCGATTCGTATGTCATGTTGACATGTTTCTCATTTTTTAATAGTATTTATCTTTGTTTTTTTTCGTCATGGTTGAATAGAATTTCAATGATTTACATAAGGAAAAAATAATACCAATTCATATAAAAAGAGCAATTTTGTCATGTTTAGCATTTTATATCTATTATCTTAATATTTAATATAAAAGATATGATTATGTGTGATAGTATTTTTGTTTTATCTTATATAAATCATCAAGTTCTATCGAATCATGTATCAACATGAAATAGACTATGAAAATATTCTAATATACACTTATATCTAGTCTTTGCAAATTCTAAAACTTAGAAAATCTAATTGACTGTATTGAGATGTTTTATATTTGTAAATATTCTTTAAGAGCTGTATCATATAAGTTATACTATTATAAATTAATTAAAATTTGACTATAAACTTTTATTTTATAAACATTTTGTTTAAGTATTCAAAGATAAAAGAAATTATTTATAATGACTATTATAATTTTAGATAAAATATAATCATACTTGAGGAATTGCTAATACATGTTCAAATTGTTCTTGTTCTAATAATTGTCGTCGACGTTGTCTATTAATTTCTACAAGTTGTCTATATCGTTCATTTTCTTCATCGGTTCGAACTAATTCTTCTTTCATACCCATATCAAAACAACGACGTAATCGACATGATGAACAATAACGTACTTGTGAACAATATTTTGATTTTTCATCATTATTATTATCAATATTATTTAAATTAGGAGAATTTATATCTCGAAATGGACAAGGTGCTTGTAAAATCTATATGTAAAAAATTATTATTATTTTTTTTTTTTGAATTAAATAAATGTTTTACTTCTTTTCGTCGAGCATTACGACGGAAAAAAGCTGAAATAAATATTTAAATAAGATTTTTATTTTATACTATCAATAATTTGAAGGAAAAAAGATTTTCATTCTCGAATTTTACATAATCGACATTTTATATATATTTTTTTGTAAAAATATTAAATACCTTTACATGGTGCACATGTTGGTGCACCAAAATTAATACCAATAGCTTTTGAACCACATATTACACAGTCATGTTTAGGCCACCATGATCGATGTTTAGGATGATAAACGCTTGGTGTTGTTGGAGTTGGAGATGACATTTCTCTGTAAACTTTAAATAATTGAAATACTAATAGTAAATTATAAAATTATTTAAATGATTTCATCAAATTTTGAACAATCATTTAAAGAAATCTGTCTACGTTGTGAGATTTCTCGAAAAACTATTCAATAATAAATCCTTCAATTTTTACGAGAAATACATCCAGAATGAAAGTTTGTAAGAAAAGAATGTACGATAGCAAAACATACGCTCAAGTTTGATTGAAAGTTTCAATATGATTGATTTCATTTTAAGGTTAGCAAATAGTTTTTTTTTTCGTTCTAAAATAATAAAATATTAAATTTTGATTTCAAACTTACTGTAGATATATCGTTGATAAGACCATCGACAAGTGCATTAATAATAATGCGGGAGACTAATTTGATTGATAATATTGAAAAAAACAAATTTTTTTTTTTTTTTCACCGGGTTTTTTCGTTTTGTTTTGATTGTTGATAGAAATTAATAAAACGTCTAAAATACAAAAAACAAACAACTATTGCTATATAACTATATGAAATATTATCAAAAAAGATAAGATTAGTATAGAAATCAAATACATTCATTTTCTAATTCATTTCAAATTTAAATATATTAATTTTTGATTTATTTGATCAATAGATGGGTAGCATACCTTTCTCTCTTTTATTTATTTTTTGTTGTTGTTAATAAAACACAATCATAAACAGTAACAACAACAATAAAAAAAAAACAGCAAAGGTATAAATATTTTTTTTGTTTTGTTTATGTAATATATTTTTAGTATATATAAGTGGATTTTTTTTTAACTTGTTGCTAAACTCTAGATTAAATGTAAAATAAAACAAATTTGTGTTTTTCACCTTTGAATATTATATAAAATGTTTTTTGTCAATAACATTATTCATAATCACTCATTTCTATATTCCATATTATTAGAATATATCTCACACTGAGTACAGAACGCGAACCCCGTTGTCCCCGTTTGCTTGTTCGGGTCGTCGTGTGTTTTCTGTTCGTTCTTTCTTTCTTGTTCTTATTGAATAGAGAAACAAAGCCAAGACTTGAGTCTTTTTTATTATTATGATACATTATGCTGTCCAATTAAGTTTAAATTAAATTGATATAAAGATAATAAGTATAAAAAGACAGTATTATTTTTCAGATATTGTAAATATTTATTAATTATTTTCATATTGTTTATCATTGTTAGTCATTCATTGTTTTTTGGACTACCGTAAACTAGCGATATCGTTCGAAAGTTCGATTATTACTATTAAGATTTGACTATATATTTATTTATTTATTAGAAGATTTTTAAGAAAAACAAAAAAAAAAACAATTTCATTTTAACGATTTAATTTAATTTCATGACATATTAAAATCATTGAAGATATGCATATTTTTGAATGCAAAACCAAAAAGATTTGTTTAGGTTTTTTTTAATATATTCTATCTATATGAAAAAAATCCTTCTCCGAAGAAATATGAACTTACCGTTTCAATTCAATTTTGTGAATTAGTTATGTATGAACGTATAACGATTAGGAGCAAAAAACCCAACTCGAGTACATATTGACCTGCACTTTGAATGAAGTCTATGTCCTTAAGAGACTTTTTTATAATTAATGTTTAATCATACACTACTTTTAATTTGACTTCTTCATTTTCTAATATTCATTCATCCGCTTTTCTTTTGAAGACTATCACACAAATAAAAATACTTCTTTTTTTTTTTTTTTTTTTTAAATAATATTTATACGTTCTTTCACCAAGAAAAACAAACAAACGAATAAAATACAACAATAAATTCTTACGATGATTTTTTTTTTCCTTCTCTTTTTAATTAATCTCTAATTATCACGAATATCAAGAGTTAATATTTGATTAAGTGTTTCATATGTAACTAATAATTCATTACGTGTTCGTATTTGAATACCAATTTCAAATCCAACACGTTGCATTTGTAAATATGTATGCATTAAATTTGAAAAAATTTGTACTGCACCAAAATTTCCATGACGATGTAATAAATATTTCCATAGAAGAGTTGCATAAATATTTTGAATTTCAATAATAGCAGTTTTTTTCTTTGGAATTTTTAAAAATATATAATTATCATATAAACAAAAAAGTGATGATGAAAAGAAGAGTACAACGAGCCAAAGACGTATTATTATAGGATCAGTTATTAATGATTTTTCAGCTAAATTTGCTGTACGACTAAACTCTCTAAATAATTGGGGACCACATATTAATTCCCAAGTAGCTTTTTCAAGTGAGTTCTAGAAAACAGTAATTATCTTGTTTTTTTTTAAAGCTTAAACATATAGTTTTCGTTTTGTTTTTACCTGCCATGATTCAGAAAAACATGATTGTTTAAGTTCAAACATATTTGGAAATAGTAATGAACGAAGATTATTTTTACATAAAAATGTTCGATTTATTTGTGATAAAGAATGAAATGCTGGTAATGATTGAAGAAATGAACAAAGTGAAATAGTTAAAGTCATTGGTATTGCTGTAAAATATTTTGAAGGTATATGTGATTGATGACATGATGTTGCTTCACTATTATACATAGCTGAACGTTGTTGAATATATGTTTTAAGACAATGTGTTTCATAAGCTGAAACAATATTTTTTAAATGACGCCAATCTGATTCACGTAAAAGTTTATCATTATTTACAAGGCACTACAAAAAAAAAAATATTTTATTAGACAACGTTATATAAACTAACAAAAATATTTTTCTATAGGATGATTCTTTTTTTTTTTATTGGTGTTAGAATATTACATTCGCTAATATCTTAATTTTCTCTCATGATATTTCAAAAATCGATTAGAATGTGTTATGTACAAAAACAAAAAGATCCATCTCACATTGGTATAACTTGGTAATAGTATTTTGACAATTTAAACCAGTATGTATTGTCTACAGCTACTGTTAATCAAGCCTAAAGGTCGTTTCGGAATAGAAAATAGAAAGATATTGACCTTTGTGAATGGCATTGAAACATTACGATATGTATCTAATCATTACAATTGTCTAGGACAATTGCGCGCTCTGACGGATTCTTACTGGAGAAACTTTTGAGGAAAACAAAAAAAAACAAAACTAATTAGAACATATTATTTAATTGTGTTGTAAGATTGCATAAAGCAATCAATAAGAAACAGTAACATTAAACAAGAATACACATATGAAAGTAGGAAGAAAGTTTATAGAGGCATTCAATATGTGATATACTTTAACTCTTAAAAGCCCGACGGAGTTTTTCTTGGAACAGAAAGAAGACAATCATAAAAATAGAGCTGATGGACCCTCAGTATGCTCATACTATAGCTAAAACGAAGTACTTTATTCTTCCTCTAGAGTTATACAACGTCATTTAGCAGAAATCTTGGACCTTTCAAAAACCTGAAAGAAAGAAATTTTGATCTGAAATTTCGCTCTTAATCAGTTTATATGATCCTTAAATTTTCAGTCAAAACAGATGCTTTGTTGTTGAGATATTGGATGCAGAAAAAAATCGACAATATTTTACAAAAAATTCACAAAATCCAGCTTCTCTTCAACATGCCGTATTTCCAAGAATAAGCAACATTTGTTGCTGAAAATTTCATGGTAATCTAAATAGCGTATCAGCTATTTATGAGCAAAATGTCAAGTCCCAATTCATTTGCTTTGATTTTTTTCTTGAGACAGAATATTCCATAGAAGGAACGTTTTCTTTATGATAGTGTCCTTCGTTAATGAAATGGTTTAAAATTTATGAGATGCTTTCATTAGATACCTTAACACTATGTTTAATAATATCGCTTAAAAAAACCAAAGCGGCACGTCGTTTATATAAGTAAAAAGAACTTCAGAAAAGAAAAGTGATGCTAAGAAAATTACGAGTCATTAAAGATTCATTATTCGGCTTAATTAACACTTGAGAATTATATTTTCATCTCTGTATGATTACTAAGGTCATGTTAGTTCAAAAGAATGTTGGTTTTTGTATATAAACTCTTGTAGTGCAATTTGTTGAAATTATTCTAATGTCTCCTGGAAGGAACGTTGGACTCTTAAGGGTTGATTGATCGTTAAGATCCATATTGTCTAGTAGTATATTAGAAGACAGATGTATTTTTGCTTTCATGGTTGACTGTCCGATATAGTGTGAATGGTTGAATCTTCTCTTCACTCATATTTACACTTAAATGATTGAATTTATTCTTAAAATTTATATTATCGTGAATCATTCATTCAGAAATATACAGACAAAATCTATTCGAGTGTCCATATGTTCGGACAAGTAACTAATCAAGTAAAACAATAATAATCTTCAAGAGATCAAGTTTAACAAAAAAAAACCAACTTTCATATTATACCTGTGAAATAGATAATTGTTTATCTTGTTGTTTTTGTTTTAAGAATTCTCGTTTTTGTCTATTCATATATACAAGTTGTTTATGTCGAATATTTTGTTCATCTGTTCGAACTAATTCTTCTTTCATTCCCATATCAAAACAACGACGTAATCGACATGATGAACATCGACGTATTTGTAAATAATGATCTATATTATTATGATCATTTACTATTGATAGATCGATATGATGATGTTGACATGCTGATTGAAGAATCTAAATTTAATAATTTTTTAAATTAATTTAATTCTTACAAAATTCTTTTTTTTTTTTTTTTACTTCTTTTCGTCGAGCATTACGACGAAAAAATGCTAGAAATATTAAAATAAAATCTTTCATGTTATTTTATTTCAAGAATACCTTTACATGGTGCACATGTAAGTGCACCAAAATTAATACCAATAGCTTTTGAACCACATATGATACATTCATGAGAAGAGCATGTTGTTTGATTTTGTTGAGGATTAATAGTTGTTAACATTGTTTGAGATGAATTTGACTAAATTTTTTAAAGTTTTAATTATATTATATTCAAAAAAAAAAAAGAAGAAGTGTAATTCAATGCTTTCTTTCTTTTTTTTCTTCTCTATGTATCTTAAGAATATATCATACTAAAGATTTCTTTAAGCAATATGAATTTAAAAAATGCATCTATGAATGCTTAAAATAACTTCTTGATGTATTAAAATGACTTAACATGATGAATTTCTTTTTTTTTTTTTACTATTCTTTTCTCTTTCTTTTTTTTTTCTTGCTTATAATATGCTCTTCGTAGAAGTCATCTAAATTATTTGGCTTTGTTGTTTTTTAATCTTAATAAAGAATATATTTTTGTTCTTTAATACGCAATGGTTGTCAAGTACTGAAGCGTGTTAAAGTAAAATTCAATGCATCACTAAAATAGATTACGAAAATGATTGGTTACTTCAATGTTAGTTAGGATATATCCTGTGAAATTTGAAAAAAATTAATGGTTTATGGGAGTTGTCAATTTATTATTAGATAGGGCTTTAAATAGTAAAACTACTTTTAATTATCAAGATTACGGTTCGAAGATCTTTTTTTTTTGTTTTTGCATATTTCTTATAGTCTGAGAAAAAAAGATTAAAATTGAACTTTTCGAAGTACAATATAAATTTGAAAATAATTATCTATTATTGATTTATCAAATGTTATTATTCTCTTGTGAATATATATAAGAACTAAATAGTTTATCAAGGTCTAACAATTATAAAAGTTAAGAATATTAAATTTGTACTAGACCGTAAAAGGAATGTAAATATTTATTAGAATTTTCTATAGCTCTTTAAAGTAGGAAATTATTTTTTAATGCTAACTTTTCATAATAGAAAATTAACTTCTAATAGCTTTTCAAAAAAAAATTGCTTTTTCATAACACTACTAGGTTAGATTTCATTAAATTCTAGGTAAAACAATTCAATTTTATTGAAAAAAACGAGTACATTAATAATATCGGTTAGTGACCTGTATATCAAAAAAAAAAAGAATATTTCCTCAGGCCTATTTGAATTGGTTTCTTGTTTATACAGAGAAAAACGTGTCTTAAGAATAAATCTTCTCATTTTTATAAAAAACAGCTCTTCATAATGTTCTAATTTAGCATGTCTTTTTATCCTTACTGATATGTTATTTATCATAGACAGTATACTAGTACTTAATTAAACTATCAAACATATAAATATAATGAATATAACCTTGTCTACACTAGAAAACTAATTCGATATTAATCTCAAATTAAATCTACATGCGTCCGTTCATAATTCTACTACGTGTTCACGAAGTAAACAATGTCACTTGTCTTTCTCATTAATCTTTATAGTTCATCATATTGAGAACATCTAACTATCAATAACATAAAGTGTATTTATAGAGATTCGTTCATCATTTTGTTTAGTACATCGCAATCTTTCTCGATTGATACATTAAATTTAATTCGCCTCTGAAAATTTCATTAAATCTGAATTAACTTTTAGATCAATCAAGTTTCTTAATGTAGTATTATAGTTTCTAATATAGACAAGGTCTATGTTCATGTGAGACTAGATTAAAAATTTTCTATAGATTAAACAAAACATTTTTTTGATTTCCTTTTTTTTTACAAGATTTATATTTTCTTGTTGTTTGCAATCATAGAAATGCAAGTAAAAGAAGAAACAAGAAGACATACATACATTCATAAAGACACATTGACATTTGTCGCCTTATTATAATAAAAGAAAAACTTATTCTCTATAGTACAAGGTTTTTCTCTCTCTCTCTCTCTTTCTCTTTTTTCTCTTTCATCATCATCATCATCGTTAGCGGTGTTTCGTTCCTCTTTTTTTATTCTTCTTTCACATGTCCACCCATTATAGACCGATTTATATTTTTTCATTCTATGCATCTGTTAAAGACGTCATCATGATTTACATCTCAAGTCAATGCTTTTAAATATAATAGGAAAAGAAACTTGTTTCAGATATACTATACATATTTTTTTTAATAACTATCTATTAAAATTACGAGTATTTGAGAAATATTGTAATGGTATAATAACAGGAAACAGTCAATCCTGTAGAAAATTAGTTTAAATACAAATACATTATAACCTTAAAAGAGATTGAATGCATATATTCCGGTAGATTTTTCTATTTCCTTTTAACATCTGTCTCTTAAATAAGTACACTATTGAAATGAATAAAGTATCATTTTTTTGTAATCTGATGTTTTTAATATAAACATGAGTCATTCTTTCTATTGAATACTCTCTATATTTCACTAAAATAAATGAACGCAACAATCGATGACTAAATGATTTCATTACATATAAAAAATTAAAACAAAAAAAAAAAGATAATAACAAAAACAACTTTCATTATGAATATATGACATTTATCCGGACTATACTGAATATACTCTATTTTAAAATAATTAAATGAATGAAAAAAATCATTCATTCAAACTCTAAATTCTAACATATAATAAATAGATCTTAAATTTTTCTTTTATGAAAAAGTTTTATTCAAATGACAAAATAATAATTATATTCTGTTTGCATATTTCTTTACATGACTACACTACGAATTCTACATAAAAACTTGACTAGTTTTTTTAATCTAACGGGTGGTGCAAAAGTTCCAGGAAAAATGTCGCTTCATTTTTCATCGGCTACAACATGTTTTGTAAAAATAAAAAATACCTGTTCAGAATCAACGTTGAAAGCACTTTCTAATTGTATGTTCAAAAAATTTCTATGATGTCTTCCCTTTGAGTAACGGCTACGTCCTTAAATGACACTAAAATGTACTCTGTAAAAAGCAACCCACAATGATTCCGGCAGAAGGAACCGATATTTCCATATTTTTCAAATATCTCCTATGCGTTCCATCATATATTGTTGCTCTTTTTTCCATTACATTCTTCGTTTAATTCTCTACGAACCTGGTAGAAAGCTGTTAGCATAATCCCTGGCGGGATTTAAAATGTGAAACACGATCCAACTGTTGTAATCAATCGCAATAAAATAGTGATTGTATATATTACGGACCACATTTTATGTCTCATGTGTATTAAAAAAAAATAACCTTAATTAATACTGTACTAATATACATTTATTTCATTTAAAAAATTATACTTTATTATTAGTTATGATATTATTAATTATTATTTTTATTATTGATAATGATTATCTAGCATCGTAGCTACTAAGATGTCTGTCACGGTCTGTGACGTAGTTATTAATAAATAACTAATGAAATATTAATCAGACAATTAATTAGATTATTAATTGAATAGTTAAATAATTAATTAAAATGTCTGTCACGTCTGTGACGAGCGGTTGCTAAGGATGTCTGTCATGTCTGTGACAAGCCGTTTTTAACGTGTCTGTCACGTCTGTGATGTCTTGTTGCTAAGAATGTCTGTCACGTCTGTGGGGCGAGGGGTAGTGGGTGCAAATTTCTATCTCTAAACACTTCAACATTCTCTTTTAGATCGTGTTTCACAAAAATTTTTTGAACATACAGTTAGATAGCGCTTTCAACGTAGATTTTGAATAGATATTTTTTATTTTTCCAAAACATGTTATGTTGTGGCCGATAAAAAATGAAGCGACATTTTTTCGGGAACTTTTGCACCACCCGTTATATGTGACATACTATTACACTATAGGATGATTTTTTTTTTAAATAAAATGGTTCAATCAATAATCAAAATATCTTGATTATAATTATATGTGAAACATTATTTCATCGTTCTCATTTAAATAGAATTAACTATGCGTCATGATAAACTAGCAGAATAGATTACGACCACTCTGTTTAATGAGGTTTATTGAGCTTCTTCATATCTTCAGTATGTGACTATGTCTTCGTCGGTATTGGTTTATATAAGAAAGAGAAAAAGAGAAATGAATACAGTAAGGAACAATAGAGAGAATTAGAATGCAAGAGGAAGTGAACAGTAGGAGTACAAACTCTATTCACATGAGCAAACGTGCTTTCGAGGGAAATTTTCTTAGTCTGAGAAAATCTTCGAAAAACTGATGTGTTCGAAGATACATTTTTTAACAATTATTATCTGGAAATGTTTGTTCGAAATTAATGTGTCTAAGGAAGTTGCTCGAATTACACTTCTGATGAACATATCAGTAATAGAATGATATCAATCAAGACTTGTGATAGTTTTTAAAGGTGAAACAGATGAAAAATTCTCTCTCCTAGTTCTTTTTTACATCGAGACTTAAAATATCAATATTAATTTAGAATTATTTTTTGTTATCAATGTTTTATTTTTATGATTTAAGAAAAAATGAATTTTTTTCAGTCATAAAACAAACTGTGACTTGTGCAAGAAACTTCAAGAATATTTGATTAAAGAAAAGTACTACAAAAGTTTATTAATATTTAATTTAAAAATAAAAACAGATCAAGAAACTTTGCAATGGTATATTATTATAGAAACTAAGTCGATATGTCAAATATATTGGGCTTTGAAATTTATAGTTTTGATACAATACAACTTTCTTGTAGCAAGATATGTTCGAGTGTAGTCTACTTATTCTTATGAAGAATTATATAACAGATAAAAATAACATTTTCTTATAAGAAAAGATGATCATTTTTCGTCTAACTCCTTCTGAATAACCTATTGAACATTTTATATATATATACTATTAATATATTTTTGTTTGATTTTTATTTTTTTTTTGTTTTTAATTAGATTTTTATTGTAATATTGATGCATATTTGAGATTTATTTATTATTCGATTTGTATTATTTTTCAAAGAATATAATGTCTAAAAATAAAATTCATGATTAACTCATTCAAATATGACTTAATTAAATCTACATATATATCTTGTATAGTTTTGTTTTTAACTAAAAATTAACTATTGAAGAATATGAAAAGAATAAAAATTACTCTTATTCTTGTATCAAAGAGATATTTAAATATCATGAAATAAACACATTTAAATATCTACAATGAAGTCGTTTTTATTTTTTTTCTTATTCTATTTATTGAGAAATTGAATTGCAAAAGAATAATTGAATGTATCGATTTGACCGCCATATGATAATTAGATGAGAATAGAAGAGAATTAGTTATTTCTTTCACATGGATAACATTGAATATGATGATCTTACTAATTTATCTTGGTTAAAAGTATCACATAGTAGAGAATTTCAAACAACAGGTGATTACGAGATCATTGTTTTTTTTTTTTGAAAACAAATATTTTATTCTTTGTTGATTAGTTGAATGTTCAAATAATTATATTGATGATGATCTTCAATGTCTCTGTTGGATTATTAAAATGCAACCAATATCATATTCTTCTCATTCACTTAAAGTAAAATTTTTGTTGACAAAAACAAAAAAAAAATTATATTTTCTCTTTATTTTCCTAGAGATTATCTGTAACAACGAATAAAGTTAAGCATTATCGTAATTCTAATCGTTTATTATCATATCCTAATGTTTTTGATCATTCTCTTAATATTGTAACGAATGCAATGATTAATATGGAACATTCCGATACGTAAGTATAATAAACTAATTCAAAAGTAAATAATAAATTAATATTCAGAAGACGTCTATTGAGTACTCATGATTCACATTTACACCTTTGACATCTAATGTTGTACTTAGAACTCTTAAACAAATTATGATACAAATTTTGAATTTAGATGTAAATCTAGCGCGTTTCTTTATAGTATTCATAGAGCTATTAGTAGTTTTCTAATGCTTGCTAGCTGACACTTCGGTCATCAACCGACATTATTGAATCAAACATGACATCATGCAGTGACAGAATATCTTTGAAATAGTAAAAACTGTAGTTCTCTATCTTGTTTCTGTCAAAAGCTTTTCGTAATCAAAGACTGCTGGATGACTTTTCGATCGTCCTGCACACAAGACAAATTAATTTCCACTAAAAATGTTGAATTTACGAATAAATAGTTAGACATTCTAATAATAAGTACGTTTTCATTTTAGTCTCTCACAAAAGAAATATTTACTCATTAATAAGATATGTTAAACATTCTAAACTGTTTCATTTTGTAAAGCTGATTGTAAAATAACAACGTGCATTACTTTCAGTGTATTATTTTTGTTTGCTAGTAGACTTTATATGAATATGTTATTATACTCATGAAAGAACTGCCAGAATCATTTTAAAGCTCATATTATCAACACATAGTAAAGAATCTCTAGACTAGAATAATTACAAAAAGATTCATATCTTTAGGCTTTCTCTATAGATACTTATGATATGTTTCAATCAGACGGGATATTTGCAGATAAAGTAAAAACAAATTTTTTTCGATCTTGAATAGATTTAAGTCTCAGTCAAAAGAATTCTGTCCTTCTGCAAGATGAATTTTTGACTAAAAATTTTACAATACTCTTTCAATCATAATCATAAAATCTAATTATAGACATAATCTTAGATTTAGGATTTTTTTGTTGAATGTTTCTGTGATTAGATACCCCATGGTATAATAAGTATCAACCAAAAATGTCATAGTCCGTTATAGAAAGGTTTATGCGAATAAAATCTTTAAGAATTATTCTAGTCTAGATGTGTTCTCTTTACATCAAGAATAAAAACTCAAAATTGATGAATAATTTCGAGTCTCTCTTTGCATGTTTCATTCTCAAAGTTAGTATGATACATTTCAATTGTACTCTGCCATCAAATTGACTGCAAACTTATCTCTTGCTTTTTCTTGACGATATTGTTGCATTCAAAAAAACGAAGCAGATAAAGAGTTTTAGAGTTTGATTAACAGATTTGTTTCTTTTTGAGACATTCAACTAAACGATTGCTCATATAATTTTATCTAATTTTAATTCGTCACGTTAAATTAGTTAGAATTGATTTATACCGTTGTAAACAAAGTTTCACAAGTAGTAAAAATAAGATTTAATATTATTCAATGCTTTTTTCAAATAAAACTATTTTCATTACTAGTAATTCAATATCATCACGACAAATATTAAATAATCATTTATCTTCAATAAAATCTTATCAACAATCATACATTCTTATCCGTTCATTAAATGGCAAAATTTCATATTTATCAATTCGTCATTTCGTCTAACCATATGTTCAATCGAACACAAAAAAAAACAAAAAGAAGATTTTATTTAATGTCTTTCATCAAAAACATTGTACATTTAAAATTTATGAAAGAAAAACGAGAAAATCAATTATGCACCGGATATTATAGCCAATTAGTTAAAAAAAATAAAGAATATTTATTGAAATTTAATAATTACGAATGCAAAAATATAGAATGAAATTTTTTTTTCGATTTGACAATGCAAAGAAGAAAAAGAGTTGTAGATCTTCTTACTTTACCTATGTGAATATCTGAATATTGATAATAAATTGTCTTTCATAATTGTGAAACAGAATTGTTGATCGTCTAAAAAATGATTAAAAAGAGTTCAAATAGTGACTTGAGCAGAGTAAATTATTTACAACAGGAAAATTAAAAAAAATACTAAAAATTATCATCAAATTTTCAGAGATAAGACTTCCAGATAAACAAAAAACTAGTTCTTTTAACATCTGCAATGTGTAAATAAAATTTTGCTTAGACTACATACGATAATAGAATAAAAAATTCTGCACACAATGGCATATCTCCGACTTTTCTGTGATGTTTTTTTGCTGAGATACAATAATTCGATTCAAGGTCAATAAATAGTGTTTTCTACAGAAAATTGAAAAAAGAACAACAACTTTAGGGGCTTCCGTAAGGTTATTGTCATGCGGTTAAAATATGTTGTACAGAACTCGAAAATATGTCATTTTGTACAAAGGTATTTACTATATCGTTCTAAATGTTGAAAAACAGTCTTTTAATATTTCGGATTTCCTATAACTAGGAGTTCGATAGTAATTTTTATTTTCTTTTTCTCGACTCGAGTCACTATTTGTATTCTTTCTAGCGCTTACAACAGTGAACAAAAATTGAAAATAATTATTGTTGACTAATTATGGTGATTTCATACCAACAAACAATGTATTTTTGATTTTTTTCCTCTATGATTAAGCACCTAGTTCAAATCCAGATGATGATGATTTTAATAATGAATTCTATTGCAAGGTTTTTCAAAAATCAAATATAGTAATTTTCAGATACTAGACGACTACTTTTTTCCTCGACTGTAGGGAGGGTCATATGAAAAAAAAATAGTTTGTCTGTGGCTTTGTGTCAAGGTCAAAAAAACATCCAAGATGAATTTTCTTATAAAGGTTGACGGAAGTAAATCGGGGCCGGAGAATCCGAATCTGAAGTTAGTTTCTCTAAGTTTTGAATTGAATTTTTTTGGTTCAGGAGAAAAGGTTTCTTTGAGAAAATAATTTTTTCTGGATTGTAGGAAGAGTTATATGAAGTAAAATAAATTTTCATCTGTTTTTGTCAGAGTGAAAGGTGAGACGTCATAAAAAACGTTGGGTAAGTATTCGATTCTCGTGCTTTTAATGTTAAACTTTCAACCAATTCGATTTTTCAGACTGAAAATTCAGTCAATCCGACATATGTCATAACTTCTCCCTTAATCAGCTGTTCCATAACTCGGTGTCCATGGATGAGACTTGTATACTTGTCTGATACAGTCGAGGGTCAAGTGAGTCGAACCGACGAACGTTACTTGTTTTTAACAAAGCCATTTTAAAGAGCACAAAATCAATGGTAATTGTATTTTTTATGACCTTCTGTTAAAAAAAGCGCATTATTCGACGTTTGTGATACTTTCATCTTTTTAAGAAACGATTGTAGAAAATGCAGCGATTTCTCATTCTGTGCTCTTGAAAATGACAGTTGTTAAAAAATAGCTTTCTAGGAGCTAATAAACTCGCTATTCGAATTTGAACTAGGTGCTTAACGTTATAGAAAAAAAGTTAAAATTACTTTTTTTTTGTTAAACTTCTTTTTTATCCTATTTTATGTGTAAAGATTTTTTAGTCTTAAAATGAACAATACCAGTTTATTATTTTGTATAGTATTATCAGTATTTAAATCGATTAATGTAATTGGTAAATGAGTTTGTTCATCATCAGATTCACTAAAAAAGACAAAACAAAAAATGTAATATTCTTTTAAGAATTATATTTAAGAAATATAATACATACGGTGCTCGATTAAAAACAATTTTACGATTTTGTAAACGTCGACGACGAGCATGTGTTGAAGGATCTAATGATGTACTTCGATGTTTTGTTTCAGCTAAAATAGATATAATCAGAGTTGTCAAAAATAATTTTTAACATTTTCTATTCTTAATAATATTCAACTAGAATTATAACAGATTTTATTAACTTATCCTTTCATATAAATCGAATCTGACAAAAGATATATCAATAATGTTTCATTCAGTGAACTAATATGTTTGCTCAAGTATCTTCATTTACATAATGAAAAAAAGAAAACTTTTTGAATTTGATCATGTATGTAGATGTATATAACTATAATTTAAACAAAACATCAAATCTTGATGTATTATATTCAGGAAGAAATTCCACGAAGTAGCTCATCACAAGTCTAGAATAATCTCAAAATATTTCATGCTTGTAGGTCGTATTTACATAGTTACAAACATTTTTTGCTAGACTTTTACCATAGCACTAGGTATTCGCAAGAGTATTGAATAAAGAATATTTGATCGGTCCTAAAATATTCTATTAAAAATGATTTCTTCTTGAAATAGTGTGCAAAATCATGTTGATTGAAAATCTGAGGAAATTCTTAGTATGATAAGTTTTACTGATAGACAAAACTAAAGATCAATAGGTTTTTATTCAAATCTACGATCAATATAGCATCGAATGGTAAAAATCAAGCAAAACCTATGAACATGAAGCCTTTTGGCGTTAATCATGTTGAGCAATTTTTTGATTAGTAATGCTTGTAAACAAAGAAGGGAGTTTACATTATTTTATCGTGTTTTTGAATAGATTTCATCTTAGACATAAAGCAACAAAATAAACTTTATGATCAATGATAAGAAATACTTTCAAATTTTTTCTTTATATCTCGCTATAAGTTTTTATAAGAAAGAAATTGAGATTTATTCATATCTAGAGAATCAATTTTTTGAAGAATAACGATGTCGCTCTATGAAAACAAGTATTAGTTGCTTCAACAGACTTTGTTTTGTGCTTTTTTTTTAATGTAAAAGAACTTTTAGGAAGTCTTTGAGATATAAAAATAGTTTATCAAAATGCCATTCAGCTCATAAGTAATTATGTTTCATGACATAAAAATAAAATTTTCTCAATGAAGTATTCAAAAATGGTCAAAAACCTCATTTCATAAAAGTAGCAGCTCTCTCAGACATTCAATTACTTGTTCTACTGAATACCGTTAAAAATAAAAACTATTACTCAACTTATATATTTAGTACGTCACTAAACTATCTCTTGTTAATTGTCATGCAAATCATAATATGAGAATCTCTCAAGTAAATCTCTCTTTTCAAATAAGAACATAATAGATTTTATTATATGAATACATATAAAAAAAGATTGAATAGAATTATTAGTTCAATTTCATGCAGAAGCATTGATTACTGATTGTTCTAGAACTGAAAAATTCTTTTCTAATAAGACTTTCAAATGTCATTTTAAAAAAAAAGACATATTTTTTCATAAACAAACCTCGACGTTGTTCGTTTTGTTGTGTAATACAATTTTTAATTGTATCAATCCAACGTAAATTCATTTCTTCCATTGTTTCTCCATTTGATGAAAGCTTTCAAAAAAATAAAAAATCAATTATTATTCAATAATAAAAACAAAGCTATTAGTGCAATTTCTACAGGATTTATATATGAAACATGACTTAGCTTCTATTGTTAATCATAACGAAATTATCTTATACTATCTATTTTAAGGCACATTTCTTTCCGATTCTTTTATCTAATCCTTCAGAAATGTAATAAGAAAATAGTTCAGATAGTATAATAAGATATTATGAAGTATCGACTACAAATTTTTACCATCATACTCTAACACTCTTTGTAGAGTTGTGTTTCATAACAAAAAAAAGCTAAAAGTCTATTTGTCAATATACTTGTATATTTCCCCATCATGGGGTTGAGAAGGTCTAACAGATTCGTCACTTATATATCAATTTTAGAAAAAGTTTTAACTTGGCTTTCGTCAGTCCCTTCAAACTCTTCTACATTTTCTCAGGTTTAATAAGATGAAAACTTAACTCAAAACATGTTATTCGATAGACAATTGAAAACTGTATCAGAAATTCTACCATGTGGTCCAGTAAATTGAGAAATTCTACGTAATAAATAATAAATACCTTTTTTTGGCCTGTTCAAAGTTTCCATTGATTAGCCTTTCCGTGAGAAAATTTCAACTGGAAATTAGTCATAGCATTTGTTTAATATGTCAAATTCGTAGAGAATTTTATTTTCTGCAGAACCATATATTATCGTCCCGACTGCGTACCATGCTTACATATGTAGAAGTGGTTTTGTTTTCATGTATATGAAAGCATGTGAAAATTGTAAGCGTTTACTAATGCAACAAGAAACGAAGAACGATTAAATAATCAAGTTGAAATCAGATATATGAGCAAATTCTAACTTTTTTGTATGTTTGCGTTTTTGAAGTTTTTTTGTTGAAACTTCGACTTCTGTCGTTCTATTTTAAATTTTGCTCTTTTCTGCTTGTTCAAATAATTCCAAAATTTTTAGATCTTCAACACATAATTTCGTTGAGATAGACACTTCAAAAACCACGAAATCTCACATTTTTGGTGAAGCATCGTAATAGGAATGAGTTTTGTAAAGAAAACAAGACACAAACAGAAAATGTACATTGCACGTTTTGTTTAGTATTCAATAGGCTATTTAATTCAATTATTTACGGGTGCAATTTCTTTCTACTTCCTGATTCTTTATTATTAAAACACTTTCACATACAGAGTGTAGGGTGAGATTGAAATGAGTGCAGAATGGATAAGTAAAAATTTTTTAAAGAGATTGAATTTTCCATTAGAAAGAGCATCGAATTTGCTCTGAAATATATGTTAAAATTCTGTGATAATTTTCTTTTAGTAGATCCGAAAAAATGGAGAGTATATTTTTCATTAGCCTTGTATGGTGAAATTTTCGAACTTGAGAGATGCGTAACTCTGGAAGGATTCATCTAATTCAGATGAAACTTATAGAAAAGGTATATTACAAAAAGTTGTATAAGTAGAAATAATTTCATTGTTCAACGATGCTTTGTTCTCAAACATTTTACATTTTATAACAAAACGTAGGGCGAGTTTCTTTTAGGGCGACATTTGTTTTGAAATTTTTTGGTTATTTCATAGAAAATTGACTAAAATTATACATTATTCTATTCGTAGAAGCAAACTCAATAAATCTACATATTTATTTATCTTCTGTAAGACTACTTACTGAGGCTGGAGTATAGAAATTCCTGGCACGACACTACCTTACGCGACACTTCCGCGCAAAATGAAATATTTTCGTCTTTCTGTTACATTCTTTTCTCATTGCTAAAAATAAATTAACCACTTTGGTTAAAAGATGATAGGAATATTCAATTTCTTATGCAGGAAAGGAACTTGTGAATCCTCTTATTGTGTGACCTACTAATGGATCGCATCCTCATGAATGTACTAATGTTTCATTGGTCAACTATATCTTATTCTAAAGATGAACCCATGTCTAATTAAAAACATAACATATGATGAACATTATGACAAAAGAAGAAGGACCTGACAAATAAAACAATAACACATAATGAAAAATGTTAGATAGAAAGAAAAAAAAATTCTATCATCTATTCGTTATAATTTAGACAACAAAGAATTAATTCAAGTTAAATTAATTCTTTGTTGTCTAGCCTGTGTGGAGCCCAATATAATAATATCAATGTTTGACCTTTCATTTTTCTCTCAGACAATGACAATAAGAAAATGTGAGCATATGAAATCAATATGAATAAACATTATTAATTACATATGAATACTTCGAATAACAATCCTTTAAATGTACTCGATTTACCTAATGAAATATTACTTAATATTATTAACAAACTAAGTTTCATCGATGTTTTCTATTCACTTGTGGATATCAATGAACGATTTAATCAATTATCGCTTGATCCTCTTTATATTCGTCATCTTAATGTGACTGTTATGACTATGAAATCATTTTTTGAATATACATTTTCAGTAGATGATCAGGTTCTTTCAAGAATATGTGAAAATATCTTACCTCACATCCATTCACAAGTATATAAACTTACTGTTGAACAACATTCAATCGAACGTATTCTTCTGAATGCCAGTTATCCTAAACTTTACTCTATATCACTTGTTAATTTTCAAAAAGAAAAACTTCTTCACTATTTAACAGGTATATTATTAAGAATTAGTTTTGTTCGTTTCATTTTATAAAATAATGAAATACAAAATTAATTTTCATCTATATTCTTTTTACATTAAAGATGATTCAATTCTTCGTCATCTTCTTAGTCAACAAAATACATATCTAAATATCGATATTGAGAAGAAGTGTATTGATATGAAGAATGAGGATCTTGGTGGTATATATAGTTTTACATCACGACTGTGTGAAATTTCAAGGATATTTATATTGATTTTATCTTTATGTAAACGGTTAATAAATTTGAATTTTTGTTAATTATTTTCTAAACGAAATGCGTCAATTTGTATTCATCAACCATCACAAACAAGATGTATGGCTGAAAGTTTAACTAAATTAAAAGTTAATGTCAAAGAGTTTGATGATTGCCTTTATCTTCTTGATTCCAATCTCAAATGCTTATGGAAATTAATTATTTATGTGGAACATATTGGACCTAAAGAAAATGTTACGCTTGCCACAGTAAGAGAAATTTCGATGATTATAATTTGCGAAAATAACAATAAGTTGAATAAAACAAAGACATTTTTTATTTTTTTTGTAGAAAAAACTTCCTAAATTGAAATATTTTTCATCGTGCTCGATTGATGAAACATTTAATTATGATGAGAGAATTATTCCATTACTCCATCGAATGATAAATCTTGAAGAATTGATATTGTTTTTGTCTGTAGTAAAATTTAGCTCGGATGTTATTGATGGTATTCAATAACATGATGAAATTCTTGTTCATATGCCACGATTAAATAAATTTACTTTCAGTATAAATACAGAACTTCTCATCGAAAATGATATAAAAACTGATATTACAACAAAAGAAGACATTCAACATAGTTTCATTGGTAAAGAATTTGAACAAGTTCAAGTTGGTTCATATGTCTATTATAAACGATTGTGTTCCATAATTGAATATCATATCTATACACTTCCATATCAATTTGAAAAATTTCTTCATCTAAACAACTCTTTTCAAGGTGGGATGTTTCATAATGTTCGATGTTTGACGATGAAGGATGATACACATAATTTTGAACACCAATTATTGAAAGTCATTTCGCAAGATTTTCCTTTTCTCAAAGAATTAATTATTAAGAATATTCTACCACAACAGAAGCAACATTCATCGTCATTGATTACATTTCGTCATCTTATCCTTCTGAATCTAGTTCAAGCACATGTTGATTATGCTGAAGAATTTCTCATCGATAAAAACATTCATTTACCTAGTTTATTGAATCTTCGCATCAAGTTTGAATCACTTGAAATGGTAACAAAGAATTTTACAAACGATACAACACGTTTTACTTGTGCTAAATTAAAAAAACTACATATAGATGACGAGTTTGTTAAGTCAAAAAATTTTCAAAAGTATTTTCCTTTATTATAAATGTTTGTTTTCTAAAAAATTCTTTTTGAATTAAAGTAATTCGTGAAAATTAAATATATTTGAATTAGCTCAAATGAAATCATAAGAACAAAAGAAATTTATGCTCGATTTTATACTTAAACAAATGTAATTTTATTGTTCTTTTATTATTGATAGTTATGTATCTACAGTTTAAAGAATCATTCAAACATGCATAATATTATTTCTTACTAAGGATTTTTTTTTGTTGTTTATTTAAAAATAAGAACTAACGTGTGTTTCAGGAATATAGAGTTATTCTGTAGTTTAAAGATATTTAAAATATTCGTCTGTTCAAACTTCATTATTTTTCAAAATTTTCGTCTTTGATTATCTATAAAGTGGTTTATCTTTTGTTACGGCTAATAAAAATCACTTTTCTAAAATAGACTTCAAATGAACAGATGAAGAAAATTGTGTTTCTAGAATAACTTTTCCATCAAACTTCTATGATTTCATCTTTCGCTCATTCAATGAAAGTGTCTTTCGATATTTCTCTTTTCTATGTTAATAGATAATGCAAAATCATCTGAAAATGTACGATTTGATGAGTTTATATATAGATTATTTGGTGAACAATGCTTCTTGTTAATGAAAAGAAAGAAAGGGTGTGGGTCGGTGGGTGGATGTGAGGGTAGGTAGGGTGTTCGTCACTGATGGGATGATTTACTATCCACACTCACACCCCATCCTTCAATTAACTGTTCATTGCGAAGTTTTCTCATATAAGAAACATCAATCCTGTTGGTTCGTTGTTTCTATATGCATAAAAGAATTTCGACACCCAACTTCAATACTTGGGTATATGGGCCCATCGGTGTAAATTTTAGTGTTATAGTCAAATGCAGTACACAGAAAGAGAAAAGACATGTAGAGAAAGAAAATAGTGAAAGCAACGAACATGTGCAATGGTGAGTGTATCTCGCAAAAACAAACTGTCTAATCGATGAAAATGTCATGCTTCAATGATGCAAATAAATAGAAACAGGTTGGAAGAAACCAGACAATTTCGTCATCGACAAATATGTAGTACAGCCATTTGAGAACACGCATTAAAAAATTTCATACATTCCAGTATCATGCAGCACGTGAGTATACTTGATTTTCAACTTATTTAAGAGACATTCCATGAGATAATTCGGTAATATTTTTACAGGGCCATACGATTTACAAACTGACGTGCTCTTCCTCGCTTTTATTTCTGCACACCAAATCTTAAATAAATTCCATTTTCTTGAAAACGGAGATAGCAAAAGCTCAAATATTTTTGAATTCGATTGATGGTAAAATGATTTTGTAATTTTCAAAAACTACTTGATTTACCGATGGTAGCATTTCAATCCGTTTTTCTGAAGAAAAGATTCTGTAAGAACGCATTGAAAAATTAATAACTATCTTTAACGATGTTTGAAAATTAGTTCAAAACTCATAGAAAACTAATTTTAGTTATACACAAAGGTAAAAATTAACATTACTTTTTGGAGTATCATTTTAACGATGACGACTATAGCATCATCATCTAATTGCATATACAGCGTAGACCAAAAGTAACATAACACACAATTTTTTTGATTTTTTTGTTCTTTGAACATAGTTAGATCTTATTTATATCACATATACTATGTAGTTGGTAAAATATAAAGATGCAACATATAATCAGTTTCTAGGTGTAGTAATTTTTTTCAAAAGCGTACAAATGCAGCGGGACCAAAAGTAAAGAAATAAGTGTGACAAGGAAACATTCACAAATATTGGAGCACTTTAGAATTCGGAACTCAGTACATCCTGTAGACATTGCCCAACTATATGTACTGCAGAAGGCATTCGTCCCTATAGCTTATTTCTGAGGAGATCGAGTATCTCTAATGAATTTTTACTTTTATTGCCTGAGACTTGCAGCAAGATCTATTGTCGAATTTTGACTTGGAACGTTGGCCACATAAAGAGATTACCTAGACTAGTTCTCATAAGAAATTT